CACTTAGAAAACAGAATTCATCCTGAAACGCTGCAGCTCTTAGGCATATGGCGGCGATGGGCGGTCACCGCGAGGTCATCAGCCTGTTGGTGCAGGAGGAGGGTCTGCAAGTGGGTGTAGCTTGGATCCACACCAGCGCCGTAGCAAGTAGTACCTAAGCCGTGAGACCATGTAACTCAATGCCAGAAAGATAGCAGCGCGGGCAACCGAAACGATAAATGTTGATGGCAGTAAGGAGTCAGCGTCTCTGCAATGCCGCAGTTGCCATGTAGATATGAAGAAGACCAACACAAGCGCACTGGGTATGAGAGAGCCACTTCAAATTTGCTGGGTATGGCTTCCATGCCGAGAACCAAGCAGAAGCATTGAAAAGGTAGGCTAGGCAGCAATTTGTGCACGTCTTCCCCTTGCTCGTTTCGAAGGGAACCTATCTTTCAACTATTTTGGCTGCCTTGAAGTACAACCCAGAAAGCCTTCTTCCAAATTTTTGAGAACCTTGAAGAATTGTCAAGTGGCGAAAGTTCGTGGATTCCCAAGCAAGCTATCTTGCAGATTTGGGGGAACCTTGAAGGTGACCTTTATGGCCACCTAGACGGACAAAAGCCTGTGGTTTTCAATTTAAGGGCCCAGTGTGAGATCTAAAAGTATTAGATATCATAGCATAACACGGTCTCAAGAAGAACCTCCTACTGAACCCGTGTAAGCTCCCACGTAGTCACGGGACAATACATAAGCCTGACTTGCGTCCACGAAGGCCTTCCCTGGCATGCGAGATTCCTACGGCTGTGGGCCCACTGACTCCAAAAAAGGCAGCCATAAGTCTGAGAACCTCAGCTCTCTAGCGTCCCAACCATCGGCCCTGAATGTGGGCTTCCTGAGTCCTATAACTATGGGCCCTTGATTGGGCTTCTAGGGCTGTATAGCGCATATTATGGATATGGTAATTTCCCAAAATAAGGAACCCCAATATAGACCCAGAATACTATAGGCCTTATAGGGAGCCCTAAAATGGGTCCCCCTAATTTTGTGAAACCCCCATATATAAGGATCCAGGGGTTTGGGGCCCATACTGGAGGCCCACAGGTCCAACCTTGGAAGCTTGTATGTGGTGCAAATGAAAGGCTTCTTCATGGCGTTGCTAGGCTGGCAAACCACGACTTCAGAAGCATGAACAGAAATGCTGACAATGTGAGACGGTACTAGGGATGCCCCGATGTTTTCCTTAGTTTCTGCTTTGCAGAAATCCTCAATAGACAGCTGAAAATACTTGGTAGACCCCAAAATATTATAGTCCTTATTATGGGGACCGTCAAAAGGTACCCCTAATTTTGGGAAGCTCCCACCTCTTGGGAAGTTTCCAGGGGCAGATCTAGGCCCTGAGCCAATAAACCCTCAAGTATAAGATACAATATACTATATTTATATGGATCGTATGATATTATATTATGTTATATTGTATTGTATTGTATTGTATTGCATTATATATATTATCCCCCGATAATGGAGAATCAAATGGAAAAGAAGATGGAACATGAAATTGGAAAGTGGTGGGAATACAGCGATATATGCTATAATATAAACCTTAACCCATAAACCCCAGACCCTAAACCCTATACCTAAACCGTGTTGCCCCAGCTAAGGCGACAGATGGCCAGGGCTTTTCAGCCGTTCACTTTGCGGCCAGTGGGTTAGAACTTGAAACGCTTTTGTTTGAGCTTTGTATGTTAGTAGTGTTTGCAATGGGGATATCAGGGTCCCCAAAAGAGTAAGATGATATCATCTTTTTGGATTTCTTTTTTTTTGTATGAATACTACATCGTTGTAACAAGTTCGTGCGTTTTCTTCGTGTAGGCCTCTACCTACTGGTGGTTTAGGGAGAGTGGGGGAGTGGATCATCACAGTGGATCACTAAAATAATCCCTGTGTAACCCCCATATACACCCCTAAGATAGTCCCAATATTCGCTCCCCACTACCCCTTCAGCGCCAGCAAGTCTATGTAAGGCCAAGTCCGGGCATCGCACGACTTTGGAGCACTTGGCTGAGCTCAGGGCAGATCTGGATGCGCAATCCAAGGATCGTGATAGGATTACATTGGTTCATAATGGGGCCATATTGGGGGAAACCATTTAAGTGTACGACTTAGGGCAGGTTTAGAGATTGGGCGTTAGGGGGTTGACGGGGTAAACTAGATGAGTTCGGATCCCTCCCAGCATACAGTCCCTCCCCATATCTCCAGGGCTCAGGGCTTGGGATCCCATGAGGGTCCAGCGTAATATGCCTTTTCACGCAAAGATGGATGTTTCCCAAAAACGAGGAAGCCGGTCTTTTTGTCCCACCCTGGAGGAGCGCCTGCGACTACTAACTGTTACTAACTACAGAGGATATGAGACGCTGAATCTTTTAAAAGTAAAACACTCCTTTGCACAGAATTGTGGTTCGTGCAGCATCAGCGCAATGTCAGATGGTAACGGGGATTCGCAAACCAACATCTTCCACAGATCGGGCGCGCATGAGCCGTGTCGGGTAGCTGCTGATGTCATTCGTAGTTGGGCTTCATTATTGAATTACAGCTAGCCGGAGGCCAGCTGGTCTGTGATATAGAGACCTGAACTTCTATAAACAAGATATCCCTTAAGCTTTTGCATAACTACAGTATCTACTACTGCACCACAGCTGTCCTCGTTTGCATTTTGGGGGTTATTTTCTAAGTCACAGGATGGCACTACGCCGCTGGATGTGGCGAGGAAGCTGAAACACCGAGCTCTGGTTGACCTATGGCCCTCACTCGTAGGAGCCAGGTCTAAGGCTCGAAAGAAGCCAAAGAAATCCAAGTCGCCCGGTAGGGCGGACCTGTAGGCCCTTATGGGGATATCTAATGATTTAGGGTTGAGGGCTTAGGGTTTAGGTTAATGCAAAAGAAAATGGAAACTACTACAATAGGGTAGTACAGCATTTTCTGTAAACACAAGAAGCTGAAATTATGGGAGAAGGTCCCTTTGTAAGGCGTTTCTCAAAGCAGAGCGTCTTGCTTTGGAGTCCTTATGAGGCTGATCGCAGTGCCTTGATATTCATGTTCCATGTTGGCTATGAGCATCCCTGAACATAGCACAATGTCAACACGCTCACCTCAACCAGCACCCGTAAGCGTCAAGCCTTCAGCCCTCCCCAAGAAACCAAACCCTTAAGCCAGAACCCTCTCGATGCCGAAGCTTCTTGAGCGGAAGGCTGGCCAAAGCAAGCCACGCGAAAAAGAAGTGCCGACCGGGTAGTTCTCAATAGCTTAGTCGTCCCAATCTTACACAAAGAACGAAGTCCGTCTAGTTTTCCAGGATCCCACGAATCCAGAAAGGAACCAGGACTTTCAGAGCGCCCTTCTTCATTTCATCATTTTAGGGCCGCTCATGATGCCAGGCTTTGTGCGGTGAGTTCGTGACGTGATTTTTGAGTTAAACTCAGGGGATGTTAAACGGACATTTGCTGTCCCAACCCCTAAACTTGGGACCCCAGTATAGGCATGTGATGGTTATAGGGTCCTAACCCTACACCCTAAACCCGTATTCTACGGGTTTGGACACAAGAATCCTTTCATGACCTGCTATAAAGTCCTTAGAATATTCTATACATCCCCCTTTTCTACTTGAAGCCGCTGCTCTTAACATGGGTCCCTAGACGCTGGATAGTATCTTATACTAGTGGTTTGACATGTAATTTACCATGTTGCTTATTTGATTCTCCAGTATTGAAGCTACAGTAAACCCTGAACCCTCAAAGCCCTGAACACATTGTCCAAAGCGCGGAACCCTAACCCCGTATCCGAAACCTGAGCCGGTTCGCGACTGAATTTTCGAGTTGACGGCTTGTCGGGTAGAAGAGTTGCTCGAGCACAGTGCCAGTAAGGCTGATCAGAGGAGGCAGTTGAGGGTTTAGGTTGTAGGGTTCAGGTTGCAGGGTTTAGGGTTTCGGGTGTGAGTGTAGGACTTGGTGTTTAGAGGAGTTTACGGTATTGTTGAATGGAGGCCCTATGCATGGGTTGGTTATATAGGGACGAACCCTTATATTGGTAAAGAGAATGGAACACGAAGTGGACATTGCTATTTAGGGTTTAGGCTTTCGGGCTGCAAATAGTAGAGAATCGAGTGAAAAAGAAAATGGAGCATGAAGCGGAAACTGGGGCCACACAAGGGTTATTGTAGCATACAAAGATGAAGATGGTTTTGATTATCCAAACCCCCAATTAGGACCCTCTAGCTGTAAGTCTCAATAACTGTTATAGGGTCCTTGGTAAGGGGTTGGGAGAGTCAAAATCCCGACCTCCGCTGAAGGGGTTCAATTTCGTTGTTTGTAGCTCTGAGTCCTTATGCGATGACCTCTTTAATCGTGAAATCCTTAGGCGCCCTCCTTCAGCACGTTCCACACAAGATGTGGCAGAAACGGGGGGCAGGGCCTGATGTCGCAAGGTCCCTCCTCCAGATTCTTCAACTGGCTTGAACATGGACAAGCAAAAATTAAAGTAACTAGATCTCAGCTGTAGCGCTGACGCTCCTTAGGTATCATTCCGCATGCAAAGCATCGCATCTGTCCTGCTTGAACATGAACTCTACAAGACATCCCAGAGTTGGGCGCCGCCTCAATGTGTGGAACCCAACGCACCCTCACGAAAAAGCATCTGGACACTGCCAAGCTGTAGTTGCCTCTCTGCCAGAGAGTCATAAACCCCCTTGCGGCATTTCATTCCCTGACCTGTGGCTAGAGACCCCTCGAACAGTTGACTGCTTAAGACTGGCCCCAAGGATCAGAGCAATATAAGGGTTTCATTCATACCTGATAAGCTTACTTCTTCTGACGGGGGAAGCTGTTGAGGCTGTGGTCCTCTGGTCCCTACAATCACTTACACAATCCCCACGACATCCATCCCAATAACTGTTCCAACATTCCCTTTAAACCTTGAACCCTAAGCCCTAAACCCTTGAAACTTTAGCATGACATCAGAAGCTGCAGGCCTTTGCGCCCCATTCCGGAGGAGCGATTTGCCGACAGAACGCCTCCTGACGCAGAAGCCTCGTTGCTCGAAAAGGTGCAACGAACATCTTGAACTTGTTTGGGAATAAGGCTCAGTGTTTTGCATGGCTTGCGGCGGGAGCCCTGCCTATAGATTTTTCCTTGCAATTACCAATGTTCTCTTATGTTCCTTACAGAACAAAAAGTACGAATTCGCTCCAAGCTGAATTTTAACTATTTAGGCCCTTATCTTAGGAGCCTGTAGGGTTTGGGTTGCTACAGCAAAGCCTTCCCCCCGCCTTACCCTGGGAACAGCGCTGCAGCACGCCTCTGGTAAGTCGCGTGCGTGCCTGCAAATTGGATGGGGGCAGTTTGGCGGTACCCAGCAGCATGTCTTGCGCTAAGCTTTGTAGGACTTAACGCCGAATGGCTATTTCTTGTGTGACATAGCCGAATGGCTACATCTCAACATGTCAGCGGCGGCAGCTTGAAAACGCCCGCGGGCAGCATCATGTCGCTGGGGAAGCTTCACGGAATTACCGTTCTCAACCCACTCAACCTATTCCGATGACGAAGCTCCAAAACTCCGCGTTCTTGAGCAAACCGCATTTTTTGAGAACTGAGTTGCCTCTGTGTGGGTCTGACAGGTGCTGGCGCTTGGGGACAGGTCGAACGCGCTGGTTCCTCTGAGACCCTCAGCATCATTGATGCTACTGCTCCTGTGGGAGAGGGTGTTATACTTGCTGGATGATGTATCGGTTATTTGAGGTTCTGCTAGATTATGCTGGGCGCAAAACGGAGGAACGGTATAAAAATTGTGTGGCAATTGTCATGGCCATCACTAGCTCCCCGTGCAATAGGGAGTGGGAGACCATAAAAACCTGTTCGTCGTTGAACTTATGCTTGTTCAGGTTCCTGTTTGGCTTTATTAGGTTGCCTGGAGAGAACCGCCGCCGCCACTTTCGCCGCCCCCCTCCCCCGCCGCCACCGCTGTCATACCACCACGCACCTGCATCTCCAGCTGGCGGTGATCACGACCTCGTCTGCCACCATCGCCACTCCACGAACGTCAGCATGCAAGGCGACCCAAACCTGGTGAAGCTTCTGGACGCCGCTGGCCTGGACACCATCGAGGAGCGCATCCTCTGGCGCCTGGGCTTGTCTTACTCCTGGTTAGTACTGGTAAGCATGGAAGAATGGGTCCTTATAGTGGTCTCCAAAATGATAATATAGATCAAAACTCTGGATCCAGCTGGGGGGTCTTCAAGTTGAGGAGTATAGTTGTGGGGTTGAAAAAACTTGACTTCCATTAGGAAGCCATGCCTCGATGGCGTCCCTGCACACCCCCATCCTGACACGCGCCCGAACACGTGTGCCGTATCTTGAGCAAGTCTGTTTATTACGATGCCTGCAGCTCCCTGCGGTACCCAAGCCCACAATAGTCTCAAACAGCTTTCTACTCCCTATCCGAAGCCTTATCATGACCTCTACATCTCCGATGTGCTTGGGCTTTCCCAAGTTTCCCTCCGAGAATCCGAGAGAGTTCTCCTTCATTGCAACAGCGAGGCTCCACGCCGCGAAAGGCGTGGAGGTCTTGGAGGATGCTTTTGCACGAGCCGTGTACCTGAACATCGGGGGGCCCAGCGAGGATTAGGGCTTAGTGGCTTCAAGGATTTGGGGGTTTCGGGGTTAAGGTTTTAGGGTTTAAGGGTTTCATTCTTATAAGGTTACAGGCAAGTTTTGGGGCTTAGGGGTTGCGGGCTTACGGTTTTAGGGTTTACGGTTTAGGGTGCGACGATCTGAGCGTCGACGATTCAGGCATTTTTTGGGAGGATATTCCTGTAGCCATCCCAAGTCGATCCCTGCAAGGCAGCAAGCATTCGAGGTATAAGTAATTGTGACCCGTGCTTCGGTTTACAGTTAGCTAGTAGCTTAAAGAGCTCAGCGCAGTTACGGTGACATTCTCAGGCAGAAAAACACTCATTCTCCTGTAGTACCTCGTGGCTACCATTACGGGTTGCACTCACGTTTCGAAACATTGTAACATGCTGCCAACATAGGATCCAGCATCTTAGGCATTCCGCGTTGCAATGCGCGTCTGTATTCCAGTAGGGCCTACTCGTTGGAACTGGGTGTCAAATTCCAATGCCCTGCAACATGTGCTTCCAATACGGGGATCAAGTCTGAGAAGGAGCTCGGTCAGGCAGGGCCCCAGCATGTGAGCCATTGTCTAAACTCCTAGTATGCCCCGCGATAACCCCTACAGTAGTCCCTTATATAATCTCCTAAAAACCCCTTTTAAGGAGTTTAGACTATAGTTCATGTGGAGTTCTGCACTTTGTGCCTCGGGCCAGCAAAGCTGCCAGGCAGAAGATTTTCCGGCCTCGGCCCGCTTGAGAGTAAAAGAGAACATGCTTGATCCTGCAGAAGCCTCACCCTGTCTGTTTCTGTAATCCTTCCAAGCGTGTTCAGATGGTCTGTAGTTTTTATTGTCATTCACCCATCCTGCCCCCTGCATTGTAAAGGCTTGGTCAAGGGTCATCCGGTCTTCAAGCGAAGATGGTAGGCGTGGTAGGCTCTTTGATGCTAGAGGTCTTACGCTGCCTTGTGGCCTGCCTTTTGAGAATTGCTAGGAACTGCAGGCTTGACTGGACTTCCCACAGGTTGTTCCGCTTGGACCCCTTCAGGCACATAGCAGACAAACGGCCCCCTCGGTTTCTCGTGGTTGATAAAAGCTGGAGATGTCGTGATAAGTTGGAGATGTCGGTGTAGTGCTTGTTGTGCTTGTGTGCAGTCTCATGCATGGCAGCGACAGGTGATGGATGGGAACGCGTTAGGCTAAGAATGCGAAGAGCTGGCCACTTGCCCTTGGTTTTAAGCTCTTTTCCTATCAGCTGCACCCACGAAAACACCCCAAGGGCACATTTTGTACAGCCTCATGGTCCCAAACCTGACCCTGAACCCAAAACTGATGATTGGCCAGCTGCAACCCGGTTACGATTGGCATCCACCGGCCCAGGCAGAAACAGATCGATCTTGTGCTGAAGAAGGATGAGCCCTACATCTCAGCTTCGTGTGGCGCAATGAGTTGTGAAACCTGGCCGTAGAAGCGTCCTCCAGCTTTCGTCATCCTCCTTGGCAGTAGCCAGGGCAACAATACATCATTTGGGAGGGTGGTGAATTCTGACCAGCAACCCGCGTATTCGCCTTTGCAATACTCCATCCCAACAGGAATGGCGCTAGAGGATCTTAGCTGAGCTCCCTAAACCTTAAATTGTCTTTTATAGTTCCGTGGGAAGATTTATGGTGAACATGGCGTTTCTTCTAACTCAAGGAATTTCTGTGTCCATTGCCAATGTACCAAAAGTCGAATGTGGCAATCACATATCATGTGATACTCTCACCTGAGGCCTGGGTTGGAGAATGCACAAGATGTTTCCCGAAATAGCCGGCTCCTATCCAGGAGTCCCTTGTAGTTGCCATTCTGGATTATGCTACGGTTTCCGAATATGCCTCCCAAATACATTTCAGGAGTCCCTGGTAGATGTACCCTGACATACGTGCAATCTATGTCTATCCATCCAGGCCTCCTCTAGGAACTCCTAACCCTGAACCCCAAACCCTCCTGGCCTGAGGCCACTGACCATCGGCCGCGCTCATCAGACTGAGGCCTTTGAACGTTTGGTGCCGGTCGAGCGCTTGGCACAACCTGAACCGAAAAATCGGTGAAGACAGCTGGTCAGTTGTTACTAGTACAAGTAGTAGGAGCTGTGGCAGGAGGACTTGGCCGACTTTACCACATCCCCTCCACCACAACCTCATTGTACCCCTAACAAAAATCCAGAAACAGCACTTGAAACCGCATAGACACATCAGCCAAGAAATGCAGGGGAGACGGCTGAGACTTGGATGTTCTTGCTGCGATCTGCACGCCATCAATGAGGACGATGCCCTACGGAACTGCGTGTCCCGCTCGCACTTCACCCTGACATGGGATGGCCAGCAGTCGCGTTCTCAGGTTTCTGGGTTCAGATTCAGCCTGGCGCCGCTCAATGAGAGTGATAGGCTGGAATGACCAAATTGGCCCCTGTCTGTGGACGCCAAGCTTTTTCTGCAAAGTGCCATCGCTCTGACACAGCACAGCTGATACTACCGGGCTCCTACAGCACAACCGAAGTAAGTGCACGTGGCCCAGGCTTTTGCTGAAACGCACCTCGGCAAATGCCATGATAGTGGCCAGCGCCCAAGAGAGAACTTCAGAAGCGTCGTACTTCTTAGGGAGAATGGGTCTTTGGTCGTATCTCTTGGCATTTCTCTAATTTTCCAAGGGATTGTTAGCACACCTTGCGTTTGTCGTGCTAGGCGGTAAAGCAACCTTGGCTGCATGGGGTGTCTGCTAGGGGGCTTTTATACCAAGGCTCCTGAAGAGTGAAGGTGTTCAATCTACCTTAGGCTTCCAGTCCTCAAGCCAAGGGTGGCCTTGGCAAGATACTTTTTTAAATTGCTGGTTCTCTTTCGGGGTGGAAAGGTTAGTCGGGGACATCTTTAAACAAATAGCCGAAAGTCGAAAAGGTGAACATTTGAAAAGCACCCGGGCAACTTTGATGATATTTAGCGACAAATGTCTTAAGTCTGAAGCATGTCACGGTCATTTTCTGGTTCTATACGGCTTACGTGAGGAAGCTGCCACAGCCATTGTGTTGCCCAGAACCGTCAACCCCAAACCCTAAATGCACAATCTTACATAGCCCCTTTTTATCCCTCTCCACTTCCTTTCCGCTGCCTTACCCGTCTTAGTTCCCGCTTCATGGCATTAACTGTCATTTAAACCGCTAAGCTCTAAGCCCCTCGTCTCCCAGGACGACGCCGTGACGCAACAGCAGCAGGACGGCAGTGCTGTCCCTGAGCTTGTAATGCATGGGGATGTCGACCTAAATGAACTATAATGCGGGTGCCTATAACGGGTTCCTATTTCGATACCGGTCCCTATATAGATTTTATTCATTTGGGGAACCGTAATTTAGACCAAGTCCCAGTTGAAGTTTCAGGGATGAGGCCGGGTTGAGGGTTTAGTGTTGAAATAGAGTCACCCTTGAGAGCCCCAAGAAAGCATAGTCGATGATCAAAGGAATTGTAGGGATCTTTCTTCAGGATTCTCGGAGGGTGAGAAGCTCTGGGATTAGCCAAATACGTATCAAGGGACCTCATGGAACAGTTGCTCGTGTGTGCTTCTTTTAGCCTTGAAAGTCCCAAGAACCATCTACAGTTGCGATGTCCCCCAACGTTTCAGAAAGGTTGGAGGTAATCACCGAGTGGGTGGAAGTACACCTGGACGGAGCTATTCCCACTCACCTGCCCCCGTAAACATCAACCCCCACTCGCCCCAACTTACGTTAAATACTCCCCTTAGTAAGGATGTAGTGATATTATGAAATTGGGAGTCTTCATGATTATGCGGGCTGGTAGCAGTTCACATGTTGTCCAAGCCCAGCGAGAACAGATAGGCGGTTAAGCCTTTGCCTGACACATGGTAGTTTCCAGAAATTTCTCTGCTCGAACACATTATAATCCTACGTGCTGGTACCCCAACAAAGGGACCCCAATTTTGGGACCCCCCCATACGTTGAGCTCAAGACGCATTAAGAGTTTAGCGTGGGAAGGATGCAGAAAACTGAGCTTCGCAATGTGCAAGTTGAACATGATCTTCAGTGCTGCATCATCAATGTGGGCCAGTATACACAGTCTCGCGATAAGAGTGCGGGCAAGTGTCTCGAAAGATCAAGAGGTGCTTGCCTGCAAGACTCCGTCGAGCATGCAAACAAGATCCTGTTTGTGGGCCTCTACCTGCAGCAAACCATCGCCGCATACTACTAGTTGTCTCGTTTCAGATTTCAACTGAATAGGCTAAACAACGGCTGAAAGCGACGTTTTTGCTGAAGCGTTAATCTTCAAAGGTAGTTTTGCAAAAACCTAGCTTTACAGGGACCATCCTCCTGCATCCCGAAGCAGGTCAACATAGGCCCAAACATTTGCTGGTTGATCATAACCCCCGAAAGTCAACCCCCCCCCCCCCGGTAATGGGAATTCTCCCTTCTTTGTAATGGGCCGATTTAGGTTCTACGTATTATTCGGGAGAGGGGTGTCGGTGGTTTATTGCAAACCCTAAGCTCTAAATGATTTAGTAGCTGCCGTTTTCTTTTCCAATGCCCTTATACCCCTGGTTTACTCTAAGCCAAGTCTTGCAACCCCTAAGCCCCACACCCTAAACCTGAGGTTTCTAGGTTTACCCTAAGCCATAAACTGTCTCCGACACAGGGGCAGAGGCCATTTGTAAAAGAACCGTCCAGGAGGCAAGAAAAAGATCTAAAGCCTAAATCCTAAATCGAATGCCCTGAATCCACAACCGAAAGTCCTAAACCCTAAATCCTCCATCCAAAGCCCTAAATCCAAAACCCTGAATCCAACACCCTACATCCTAAACCCTATAAATCCTCCATTCAAAACCCACAACTTCCCAAATCCTGAACCCTAAAGCCTAAGCCTGCGGAGGATGTCGCCATCCGAAATGGCTCCTCCGTGGGCCTGTGCAGCGAGGTCCACGGTAGGAATGATGGTTTAGGATGTAGGGGTGTAGGGGTGTAGGGGTTAGGGGTTTAGGGGTTTAGGGGTTTAGGTTAGGGGTTTAGGGTTTAGGGATTTAGGGGTTCAGGTTTTTAGGGTTTAGGATTCCAGACGTGGACCCCACCAAGCCTGCAGCAAAAGTCTGTAGGCTTTAGGGCTTAGGATTCAGGATGATAAGTAGTGGAGAATCACATGGAAAAGAAGGTGTAACATGGACTGGAAACCCGGGATTTGTAGGGGTTACTAAGGGTTTTATATAAGGTATTGAGAAGTTTGACTATGAGTCTGCATATATTGTGCCAATGGCTAGCTGCGGCAACTGGGCGCAAAACATCATGCCATGCAAGCGTGCAAGAACCGAACCGTACCTGATCTGCTACAAAAAGGAAGTTTTTTGATACAGAGGCCTTGCCAAAGCAGCTGCCACGGAGTTTTTCCACCGCGTGGCGGCATGACAAATACTTTTTGTATAGTTGAGGGATTATGGCAGAACTTTGTCAGTTGGTGGGTGCCCACATGACTTTGCGCTTGTTTCACTCTTTGCTGATGAGCGTAGCTCATTCGAACGTTTGCGGGCCAGGACTTTGTGCCACCAGGTTGGCTAAGGCGTGCTAGGGAATCAAAACCATCTTGTCTGGGGCGCGGAAAAGCTTTCCGCTTAGAAGCAGCGAAGTATGCTCAAGACGTGACCCGAGGCCCAACTAGAAGGTTGAAAACGCGTTCAGGAATCTCCCACAATGCAATGGGAAGCAGTTTCATAAAGCAATCCTGAGCAACTACTGCAAAGTAGCCCTGCAGGCTAGCAGCCGAACTCCCTTTCTGGATTGGCCCTCAGTTGAACAGCTGTGCATTTGTTCATGGTTGGTCGCAGGGCTCCTAATTGAGACTGTCGCCGCAGTTCCCGGTTTCGAGTTTATTCAGGGTCCCATGACTGAGGAAAACCCATAAAGCAGCTGTGAAATGTTGAATGTGATGTGACTGTTCCCGTAGACGGCGGCAACCATTTGTCCTGACGATGATGAAGCCCTTGGTAACACCGTGACTGCAGGGTCATCATTTGGGGCAGCAGAGGTTATACAGGCGCAGCCTGGTTTCAAGCAGGTGCAATTTGACATTGTGGCAGAATTTCACTCCTTTGCAAGAAGCATGCTACATGTGGAGGTATGGGGAGAGATCCCAATCCTTCACTCAGCCAGATTTTCCATATTCTGAAACTTCATAAGTCTGGTGAGTCTGAGCTCAGCCTCCTCGAAGCGAAACCGCAACGCCTCAGCCCAGTACCAGTCTCAGTTCTGGAGAATCCGCCTCGGGCACTGCTACTTGAGGCTCTCTGGACTTAGTAAGTCTACGTAGCCATAGGGGCTATGGGGCTTGTAGCAAGCATTATGCCAACGTGGTAGAGAGTAAGTAGACTGACTAAGTCAAAAGAGCCTTCAACTAAGAGTTCTTCACTGTTCAAGAGTTTGGGGCCTAAGGGTGGCTTAAATAGTAGTTTCCATGTCATTTTCCATCCTTGCTATATAACCCCAATATAGCCTTGATATTGCACCAATGGGTGGCAGCCTTAATCTCAAAGCTGGGTTGCTTTGAGTGAGGAAATTAACTTATCAACATGCCATAACATGGGTTTTAAAGCAGATAATCAATCGGGTTTCCGTCTTCAGGTGACTTACTTTGAACAGCAAGCCAGCAATTCCTAAGCCCGTCGCGGCTCGAAACCCCAAACCTGTTCCTAGGTAGGGAAAACCGAAGTTGTAAGCTGATAATATTCTGCAGCCCGTTATAAACACAATTAGATGCTGGTAGGGTTTTGTAATATCTGCACCTAATCCCTATAACAAACCCTAAAACCCCATATCATCCCAGTTTCCATTTCAGGTTGCATCTTGTTTCCCTTTTGACTTTTGATTATTGGAGCAGTATCACGAAACCCTAAACCTCATAATTCTCATATATCCCTATGTAAGCTCATGAACATCCTTTATCCCCATATATGGCCCGATTATATAGTACCTAGCTGGCCCTCGTCCAGCCTGAGTCTTGAGGTTTTCCAGATGCGGGTGAAAAGCCTCCCCGGGGACCAGGCGGTCTAGGGTTTAGGGTTTACGGACTCAGGGTTTAGGGATTTAGGGTTTAGGGGTTCAGGGTTTAGGGTTTGCAAAGCCCTTTCCTGCGCTACCCACCCCCCCAAATTACAGCTTTTATGAAATCATTCCCTTAGTTTGGGGTCTATTCTGCAGTGAGGGGCTGTAGTATATTGCTTAGTAAGTTTAGTGCGGGGTTGAAGGTTTGACGGGCATTCACGCATATTCACACGACTCTGGCCCTTGCGCCCTGACATGCCCGAAAGGATTTAGGCCCTTGCTTGGATGATTGACAAGCACAAAAAACCTACAAGCTTGGCACCTTTTCATTGTGTGCCCCCTGAGCCCTTGCCTCGCGCATGTTGAACATCTCACCGGCTGTGTTCACATGCTTTACGTTCTTGGGGTTTCGCTGAAAGCTGCGCATCGGTTGGGACCTGGGGAACTCAGAGTGTCTTGCGAGCATAGAACATCACAAAAAAGCTGCGGCAGGCCTTCATGTCAAAAAACATGTGTCCCTTCGCAGCCCTTCTGTGACACATCCTTAGCTTCCAGTGTATATACAGTTTACACAGCCATAGACCGCGAAATCCCTATATAACCCTGAAATAGACATCGTGTGCTGGTGCTGCAGGAGGCGGATTGCGGCGCTACGCCGGGAACTCGACACACATGTCACGTGCTGCATGCCGGAACTTTCCTCCTGGGTCGTCCCTGCGAAACGAAAACGATAGGGGTCACTTGCTGGGCTTGAATAGCAGCTGAGGGGATTACAGATCGAGTCGCTTACACAACTGTTTAAATGCCTCAGGCATGTAGCTTTGACGAATTGCGTCTAGGGTGCAGGCCCTTTGGGACCACGATGGGATCTCATGTGGCTCAGAGGAGTTTACTCTTTTTTTTGCGCAGCGCTCTTTCTCGCAACAGGGAAGGAACATCTTGCTCCTGTCATAAAGCAAAAAATGTGGCCTGCAAAAAGCCGCTGCTTGATTTCAGTGAGAAAATCCCTGACAGGGTGTCCCTTCCACGACCTTCGCAAAGAGGATGCGCTACGAGACTCTCAAGCCTAAGTTGCGTGTTCAGTCTGGAGCATTTAGACTATGCTCCCAAAAAAGGGCCCATATTTGGAGCCTTATCCACAGAATGCTCAATATCCAACCCACGGATGTCTGAGACACATG